CTGAAGACCAAAGTCATCCTCGGTGGGCCGAGATAGTCACTTAGAAAGGAAAAGGGGAAAGCGGGTTTTTATTTCCCACACACTTTCATCTCCCACACACTCCAGGGCATGTGCTCAGACTACAGCGGTGAGCTAAATCCTTATACTACTTAAATTATTTCTCGTTCTTTTTTCTTTCCTTGAATAATTATTGCTGTTGTTATAATTTACTATTATTATTTTTACCAAGCACGCAGAGTTGAACACAAATTAAGTAAAACATATGTATGCTTTGTCTCCCCTGTAAATTTTTAGTCACTGGTATAGACTAAGTTTATAGGAGGAGATCTGTTTGAATTATGCTAACTGCTTTGAATTATGAGGCTGTTCCATAAATATTCCTTAATTCATATACTCATTAAGCACCAACTATATGCCATACACCTGTATTAAGTGCTGGGAAAAAGAAGAGTAAGCCACAGAGGCCTCAAATTATAGGAGGGGAGAAAATTAAAACAGAATCATTTCATTACCACAAACAGATACGCGAGGCAAGGTGGGCCTGGCCAGCGAGGGGAGGGTAAAGGAGGTGACCCTCCTCCCCCACCACCAGGACGCCCCTCCATTACTCCCTCCCTCACCATCAGGCCCTGGTGCGAGTGTCACCTCCCTAGTGAGCCCCTCCGTGCATTCCCAGCTACAACCATCAACCCCTCCACCACTCTCCCAGACCTCCTTTCCGCTGCACTTTTCTCCCTAGCACTTCTCACCTTCTGACCACATTTCTTACTTATTTTACTTTTCGTCTTTCTCCTTCCATGAGAGGGTCACAACCAGGAAGGCAGTGATTTTTATCTGTTTTGTTCACTGTTGAATCTCAGCCCTAAAACAGTACCCAGCACCTAGTAAGATTTGGTAAATATTCAAAAAGAAGTCTTCCCCGACCACATTCAAGGGCAACTGCCAGAGGCCTCTGTCCCTTTGTCCTTTTTTCTTTTCCTTCAAAGCATTCATCAAAACAACTGAAGTTTTCTTTTGAAGTTGGTTTGCTGATTTTTTTTCTTGCCCCTCACTAGAATGGAAGCTTCCTGATAAGAGGGAGTTTGTCAGCTTTGTTCACGGCTGTGTCCCCAGCACTTATAACAGAGCCTGGCACTGTTTACTTATTCAATCAATTTTAGTTGCATGAATGATCACTATCATGATCACGGCTCATATTCCCCAAGCACTGAGCATACGCCACCTCGTTTCACCTGCGTTCTCTCTTCAGATCCTCACAACCACTTTCTGAGGTGGGCAATATTCTCCCTCTGCTTATTGTATAGATGAGGAAACACAGACAGACTTGTCCAGGGTCACAAAGGGAAGAGCTGGCAATTAATTCTGAGCCACCTGACTTGAGCTTTGGTTTCAGTCACTGTTCTACTGACATGATCGGAGTTGCACTGCAGAAGAACAGCGGTCATCATCTCTCCCAGCCTACTGCAGTGGTTTCCTCCTCATCACCACCCTCCTACCACCTCCAAGCCCTTCTCCACACTAAAGCCAGAGTGACACTTTCAAATAATACATCTGATCACCCCACTCTCCTCGAACTCTCTTCCGTGGATTGCCATTGGTCAAGCACACATTTCTGGGGGCCTCCCTGTGAAGGTGATCAATTTTTATAACAACTTCTTCGGAAGGATACCAACGTCATCTCTGGGAAAATAACATATTATGAACTTGGGAGAAATGCTCTACTTTTGAGATAAGAAATAATGAGAAAAGGCTTATTTGATTGTGATAAACTCTATCAGTAATTCAAGAAGTATTCATGCAATTTCTGATTAGAATCAGCAAGGTAGATGTGTTAAAACAGATATTCTTGGGCCCCACCCAAATCCATTCATTTAGAATCTTTAGGGACAGGGTTAGGAAATCTACCTTTTTAATAAGTACTCTAGGTGCCTCTCAGAGTCACTGACCTAAACCTTTTCAGCTCTATGACACCAGGCAAGTATCTGTATGTTGGGCAATACTGTATAAACCATCAACGTCAAGACTAAGGCTCAACTAGCTCTACCCAATACCATTAAGGCCTCTTTTGTTCCACAATAATGTTACATAACGCATGAATTCTAACCAGACCCTAGCCCAGGTCATGGGTGTCAAAAATGTCCACTGCTTGAGCAGCTCATGCCACATCACAGGAAGCCAGGACTATCATAGATGGTAAACACAACTCACTCCAGATCAACAGTTTTGCAACAAAATATTTTCACTCCAAAGATTATTCCATTTCCTCTCCTAAAATATACCACCCTGTCATGACTAGTAAAGTGAGACAATAATAAACAAAAACATTAACCATGTCTTGCCTTTAGCATGCCAGTTGATTTCTGGGCTAGGGCTTTGCAGGATTCAAAGAAAAGCAAGTCTGTTCAGGTTTTTTATATCTGAAAAATGTCTAAAAATGTTAGAAGTGAGCTTTGTTAATGAAGGTTAATGCTGACCCAACCATCATCCTAAAACCTGGCATTTTGCCAGGATTCCTTGACATTGTCAGAACTGGTCCCTAAATAAATCCATCTCCGGACACGGGATGCCATTTGACCCAATATTAGCTCCTGGCCCCTGCAGCTGAGAGAAGAGGAAGGTCTTATTAGGCATAGTCTTCTCTGCATACAGCCCCTCCAGCTAGGAGGGGCCCCACTGTACACAGCAGCAATAGTACAATAGTATGGAATACTGACATACATCTTGTGCTCAAGACTCCAACTCACTTTTCCATTTTTTAAAATACATTTTAAAATTTAACTTGAGTAAATTACCCAAAAAAATGATTCGTTCCACAAATTGTAAAAAAAAAAAAAAAAATCTTGATAGAATACAAGTTAAATAATCCTAAGAGCTACTTTGAAATATACAGGATTTAATTGTGGCGCTACAGCAAGTTTCTAATCTGAGTCGTGTTATATGGTTTAACAATTTTTGTTGAAATTTCAGAAATGTATACATACTGACTTCTAGCTCTGCTTATTTTCAAGTGCTTCTATATGAAAGAAAATGTTCCACCCTACACAAGGCAGAAATGAACAGTGCTTTAGAAACAATGATTGTGTGATGCAAAATCCAAAGACGCCTACAGAAAAAAACAAAACATCTGCAGAAGAAAACTAGAGAAGTAAAATTTTCAAGATATTTCATATGTGTGAAAACAATCTTCCATTATCCATACTGAATCACTACCTACATAAATTACTGTTCCCAGATTCTATGTGGTCTAGGTAATAAATGGGATCTATCATTATATCGATGGACAAAGCAGCCTCCAGTTAGACGTGTGACAGCAAATTAAGGGGAAAGAAAGTGAGATTATTCAAATTCATAAAAGATTATTCAGCACTCAATAAGTGAAACACCCACAAGCATATGAAGACGAGTTCAAATTTTGAAGGTTTCTAACTTTCCATATTTCCTTTCAGTCTTCTAATTATAAATTAGAGATGTAAAGTGTAAAATCACCAGGTTATTTATTTCCAACAGAACTAATTTCCTTCCAAGTCCTTATGCTTTTAACTCTATACACCATGCCGAGGAGGAGACTGTTTTCCCCACCCCGCCCAGATTCTGAGACTCCACCGCACACCTTCTTAGCCATGAAGCATGCAACGACCCCCTCAAGACTCTCTTGAATGTGCTGACAGAACCTGCCAATACAGAGGGCAAGGACAGAAGGGGGAGGTGGCATTCTCTGGGACTTAAAAAGGCCCCATTGGTCAGATGAGAATAGCTAAAGATGTTTAAGTTACCAAAACCAGTGCTTCATTTAGCTTTACAATTTTAAGCAATTGTGAAATGCAAAAAAAAAAAGGTATTAATGCTAGCACAAAAATGTTTTTTAAATTCAGTGTTTATTTGTCAAATACCAACTGCTTTTTCTTTCATTCCTTTCTGTTTCTGATCTTTGGAAAAACCACATCAGTATCAAATGTCACTTAGTTCTTACTCAAACAGACGAAAGCAGACACAGCGGCTGCACCAGTGACTTAGCTGACCTGGGCCCTGAGTAAAAACAAACCTCTATAAATCACCAGATGTAAGCAATTGGGCAGTGATCACTTTAATTAATTGAACAGCTTTCCTGAAATTTACTGTATAATTTGGACCCTCCCAACACCTTTCCCAGAAGTGCCTAACAATGGTGGGTTTTTTCTTAAGTTGTTTAAAGGAGGAAAACATGTTTAACTCCAGTGGGTTAAACATGTTTTTAAATTATTCAAGATTAAAGTCATGAATTACTTAATTTTAAAAATTAAACCATGCGCATTCTAAATGCTACTTTTAAATGCTGAAAAGTCAAAATTATTCCAAAACGTCTTCAGTGCATGAATATAAACATGTCACCTGCCCTAAACATACAGAAAATTTCACAGAAATGTTAATTTCATTTGAAAACTCGTATTTGCAAAATAACATGCAGTGGTATTTCCAACTTCAATCACATATTTAACTTGAACTGTATAAAGCTCGTATTTTAATGTGAGGTTTCTGAACCTTGATTTTCACCGCAGGCGTTGCACTTTAAAAGAGGGTAGTCCAATGCCTTATTAACAGCTCCCAGTTTGCCTCACAAAACAACTCCAATCATTCTCTCCTAGTAACCATGTAATACTATCTAATCCACAGCTCCCATGCCAACCATTAAGTAATACCAGAGTTGAAGTCCTAGTCTACAGAATGCAATCAAATACATGTCTCAGTGGGGGTGAAGGTGGCTTCTCTAAATCTTAAAGACCAGTTCAGCTATGACAACAAAGTGTAAAAAGTGTGTTGTTACAATAATACTTCAAATTTAGGAGTGAGTGAGAGGAGGGCTGGAAAACAAGTCAACCAACTGGAAGAACACTTCTCCATTATCTGCTGAGGGAAGTACTCGCAGTCTGCTGGTAAACTCTTTTACTCTAGCCCATATGTAACTGCTACCCATAATCCCTGCAAACACACATGCGAAATCCTGCTAACATTCATTCACTTACAAGGAGAGAAGTGTAATATTTGCTGAGACTGGTCCTAGATTTGGAATGGTCTCCAATTCATTGTTGTTCAGTTTCCTAAAAATGCCCAAAAAAGAGATGGAAAAAATGCTGATTAGGTAATCTGTAATCACAGTAGTGAAAAGTTTTAAAAATTATTTGAAGATATCTCCCAAGCCAACAGTTTTAAATAACTTATTGTAATCCAAATGTTCTTTACAGTTAAATAGTGTACTGGGTAGCATATTTTGTTCAAACCTCAAATAGAAAATAGCTAAGACTCACACTTCTCGAAGGCTTTGAAGGTGGCTCAGGGAACTTGCCTTGATGAAAGACAATCTGTTGTGACTTAAGTCCCTAGAAGAAAACAAAAATAAAATTATAAGTAGTTTTTAAAAATCACTAATAGCACTTAATGATGCATACGACAGAGTGGATCTATGAAATACCTCTATCAACACTCGTGACAACATACATAATTGGTCCATCCTGTCCATAAAACTAGATGGTAACCAAAATGCCCAACTAAAAAATACAAACTCTGAGGACAGAATTAGTGTAGGAGGCTGGCAGATTCAAATGCTTTAAACCCACAAATGTTTTAGGAGATGTTTTTTGGCACAGGGTGAACAGATCTTTTGTGAGCTGGTTGTTTTGCTTTACCTTCCCCATCCCCTACCATCTCCTCACTTCCAACTTGATATGATGAAGTCATGGCTTATGAAAAGTGGCTAATTATGCAGGTTGCTGAAACAAAAACCTATAAAGAAACTTTTTTTATCATAAAATTAAGCATCAGTGTCCTTATTATAGTCAAACAAAATAAAAGCTGCTTTTCACACATTTATTTCTCTGGGTTAAGGCACCAAATTATTTAAAGTATTGTGTGTGTGTGTGTGTGTGTGTGTGTGTGTGTGTGTGTGGAGAGGGTAGAAAACCAACAGAGCCCTATGCGTTCCTATATTCCCCAAATCTCAATATCTGGTAATACAATGTATAATTTAAGCCATATCAAATACCTAACAAAGTTAAGTGGAGTGTACAGAAACTTGTGATCAGATTTCCTTGCAATCATTAAAATAAATCTGCTTCTTACTCAAAGACTCAACCTAACATAGTGACAATTTCCATAGGACATTATTATTATTATTTTTTAAAGCACAACAAAACTCCTACATTCACAATAATCTAGATTAGAAAGTCATCTCAGCATTTGAGATTCAAACTTGGAAACAAAACCTGCCCAACATTTGGTTATATTCCCTATATTTGTCAACATACTGAATATATGCCTTCAAAATGGTGTAATGAAAATGAAATGGCTGAACAGCTATTAAAGACCAGGCTGACAACGCTATGGCTTAAAGCTCTCCTACTGAAAGAGGTTAACTAACTCTTACTAAATTAATTCTCTCAGTGTTTAAAAATGAAGATTTTATATAACCCACGTTTCAAATAACCATATTTGATGGGAGAAAAGCAGGAACCATTTGTTATATGCATAAGTATGCCCCTCCACCAAAAAATTGCAGAGAAATCACACCCAGGGAAGCGGTGTTACTTAGAGCACGTCCACTAGGTAACAATTAGAAATCAGAGATCCTTTCTGAGATCCTTTGAATTTTTGTTTTGAGAATAACCTGGATTTCTCGATTTCACCACCCCCCCCCCAAAAAAAAATCTGCAAAGGTTTTATTTGAAACATGTTTGCCTAAAGACCTACCAGACAGTAACAGACATGAGTAGATTTGTTCTGGTAGAGTTATAACATGAAAAAAATCTGGCACAGTCTTTAAACTATAAAAATCCTGCAATTACAACCACTGCTGTGCATGCTCACCACGCTGGAGCCAGACACTTTCCCTCACAAACCCAGCTCAGGTCCATCTGGAGTTCATCAAGGAAACCGTGAGCTCAACAACTCACGTTAGGATTCAAACAAAACCTGTGTGCTTTTAGCACCACAGACAGTCACACATTTCCCACAGGGTTTAAAAAACAACCAAGGAAAAGAGTCCTTCACCTGGGAGGTAGCCTGAGTCAACAGAAAATCTCACTTGGACCCACTTAACTAAACATTGAACCAGCATAAAGCTGCGTCCCCTATTGTTTCAAGTTTTAAAAGGACAGGGGGAACCAAATGGCATTTACAACTAATACTGGAGGTTTTCTTTTTAATTAGAAGAACTGAAACCACACTCTTCACTTCATTTTAAGGATTATTTCACAGAGCAATCCTGTGAGAAGAGAGACTGAGTGCTTAACTTTTTTCCAACCAGTAATGGGATGAGATCTCCAACAAAAGACCTTTAAAAAACTGAGAAGCTGCCTTCACAGAACAGTGCACATGCTGGGGACCACTCACTTCTGATTCAGAAGCAGGAGCTGGCAACCTTAACTATTTCGGTTATTGCAACACTTTCATTCCTGAATTTTGTGTACTACTATTAAAACCACATTACATGGGGGAGAAGAAAAAAATCACCCCTTAAGTGACTTTTACTGCTAAATACTTAAAGCCATGAAAACTTAATGCACCTAAATTTAGATTTAATACAGTTTATGTTTCAGAAATGATTACTTTCCAGTTAAAGGATGTCACATTTTCCTAAATCTTCATTATAGTGCTTTTATGGCGAGACCATTAAAAACAAATTCAAGTTGTACAATGTCCACGTTTTCTTACAACCCATAACATTCACTAAGGAAGGCAGATTCTTCATTTTTAGAGTTCCATTAATGAACATCTTTCCTAAGAAACCTTAAAAAAAAAAAAAAAAACACAAACTTGGGGGAGCGAGGTTAATGAAAGGGGAAAGGTGGTCAGGCAGGGAGGTAGTCACTATCTACCCAGAACTCAGCTGGCCAAATACTTAAAAATCAAACTCTACATGGTAGAGAGAAGTCGCTCTTCCAGAATATTAGCAAGAGAAGAACTATATATGAAAATAATTAATTTACAACATTTGGTTCCAGCTATCGTTTTCTTCCTTTTAGCATTTGGAAATCTGACTTCCAAGTCAAATTTTAAAATGCAAATCCAGCACAGCTTCTTAATCAATCCCACTGGGGCCTGCAGAGCTGCTAATTCAGCAGAAATCTGGAAAGCTGAAAAACAAAAAGCCAGGCTGTAGCTGTTTTAAGACACTGATCCAAAGTGACTCATAAATCAGCCAGCTATGTTCAAGTTTTAGTCTGGAAAATATAGAAAAACAGCTGTGAAAACCATATGGACTATTACCCCTACCCCAGCCCCAATCCTGGTACCAACCAAAGGATTTATAACAGGGGAACACTAAAGAAATCCCATCAGCAGAAAGTACCTTTCATACTTTTTTCGCCTGAGCCCTGCTCACTCAAACATTTCTCTGTGATACAATAAATAATTCTGAAATTCCAATGAGATTTTAATATTACTTGAAGCTCTCATTGGCAATTGAGCAACTTTTCCCTGTGTTGGCCAAGTAACATATTCTAACAAGCACTCCTCTTTAGGTTCAGGACTCTTTGTAAGCACAAACTCTGGATGTAAACTCAAGTCTGCCTTTTAAGGCAGTAGTAAGCAACCTTCAAATAATTACTGTTTTAAGAGCCAGTTCCATTAAAGTATTAGAAGTTACTTTTTGAAAGGCGAACTAACTACAATATTATTACATTACAGCTCAAACTATTCAGCTTTTCACACGTGGGGTTTCTATGGAAATAAATTACAACCGAATACAATGAAAAAATAAATACATATGTATAATAAACAGAAAGATTGATTTTTTTTTAACTTGCAAATTCAACAAATAAAAGACAGGCACCAAACTTTTTCTGAATAGTGTTCTCATATACTAGTTCTAAGACAAACTTTTACTACCTTAATTAATTACATAAGGAAGTTAAAATATGGGAAAATAATATGCTTTTTTTTTTTACTTCTGAGCTCTGAAGCAGTCAATTTAAAAGCTTTTCTCATAATGTAAAATTTAAGAAGCACCTATCTTATGTCTCCTGTCACAAACACCAAGTAACAGAGCAGTAAAAGCTCAATTCCTTGTTTTTCTGCTGCTGTCAAAGGTGGAGAGAGAAGACCTCTAGAGCTTTAGGCACAAACAAAAGAAACATTTACGATAAAGAATTTAGACCACATGGTTTGGTGACAACTACAAAGTTGGTTAAAAGTCACACAAGTACAAGAATGACAGAGCTGTCCAATGAGTGATCACAGTGGGGCTTCTGACAACAGACTTAGTGCTTATTTATACAAGTGGAACTTATTTTCACATACATTTAAGGAATGTGGACTTGTATTGAGACAATTTACTGCTGGCGGAAATGTAATTAAAGATTGTGCTAACCAAATAAACTGTAATTTGTTTTTAGTGTGCCACCAATTTATCTGCAAAACAAAATCCTAATTAGGTCAGCTACTTTTAAGACAACGTTTAAATAGGTATCAAACTCCTTTTGGTTTAACTCAACTTCTAGTTAAAAGCACTACAGTTATGTTTTTTAAAGACATCCAAATTCACAAAAATACTACATATTGCACGATCCAAGAGGCCACTTGATATTGAGAAACTATTGAATATACGTTAGATATGTGAATGATCCAAGCCTTTCTAAACACACCCCAGGAAGCACTACTCTCTATTCATTTTCTTTTTCTCATCCCTCTATTATTCATAGGTGTTCACCCCCAGTCATTCAAATGTTCAGTTCCATATGTCCTCAATAGAGCCATTCACATTTCATGAATAAGGCAGCATGACCTCCACAAGGGGCAATTGAACAGAATTAGCCACAACTAATTGAAAGTCTTCCTGCTTTAGGTTAAAGCCCTTATCTCCTTCTTCAATTGTAATAAAAAACTACCAAATAAAACAGCCTGTGATAAGAGATTAACTATCAAGCTATAACTCTCCAATCTATTTTTTTACTAAACCAAGGTTTATTAACACACACAAAGAATAGGTTTTGATGGTCAACAATTCTACAGTTCACAAATAAAAATGTTGATTAGTACAACGACTTAAAAGCACAATTTCTTTCTACCACTATTATTAGGACATTAGGATAGTCTACTAGGAATTGTTTAAAAACTTCGAATTTCCATTGCAATTCTGCTAGGCCCAAACCTAAGGACTAAAGATGGATTGCACTTTTCTTTCTTTTAAACATATTTAAATAAATAAAAAAAAGAAATACAAGTTTCAATTGTTTGTATACATTTTACAGGAGTCCTCCAATTTTACCAAAACTAGGGCTGGGAAAGAAGAAAGGGATGACATTTGCAAAGAATCAGACTTTCCAACTCAACTATGTTTTCTCCCCTGTTCTTGTGCGCAGTTGGCATTGATTTCAGGTTTTCACAATCCAGTTAGCATCCCCAAACTTCCATAACAGTACACAGCCCTCTCTCCTAAACCGTCTGGGCTTTCTGAGAAGCTACAAATATCACACCCTTGGTTCTGAAAACTCTAGTTCCTTCCTTTCCGTATCTATTTTTCAGTCTTGCCAACTTCTTGCCGGAACGAGAATGTGTTACGATTGGGTCGAGGAGGGGGATTTATGGAGTTTCCTCATGTGAAATGAAGCACAGGGCAAAGAACAAAAGAATGTTTACCACAGCTTGTTCGGACAGTGCCCGAACTCTGTCGAGGGAGCTCCCAAATGAAAGGAACGCGTAAAAAGACTGGTTTGGAACAGGAAAAGGGCCCAAAGTCGTTAGAAACTACAGTTGAGCCACAGGATCATACACTCAGAGGGAGAACTGTGAACTCCGGTAGTCCGCAGGTTAGCACCTCTCCAGGCAGGCAGGGGCGCGCACTGAGCCCCCTAGGAAAGCTCCAGGCGCAGGACGTGTCTACCCCCTGGAGCTGTCAGTGGTTCCCGCCCCTCGCCCATCAGCGGCCAGGCTGGGCGCACCAAGGGCCCACCTGCGCGACCTGCACGGCACCGGGGAAGGGAGACTGCGGTCCCGGCGGCTCCCTTTCCATCCCCACGGCGCGCCACTCGAGGCCTTGGCCAGGAGAAGCTGCCCTGGAAAAAGCTGCTGCGCGCCAAGCGCCGAGAGCCCAGGCCCCTGGCCGGCTCTCCAGAATCTCGCGCCGCTCCCTCGCGTCTCCAGCGGCTTCCCCGAATCTCGCGCGGCCCCTGCACCCTCAGGAAGAATACTTACAGCCGAGCGACCCAGGGTGGGAGCAGCTCGGGAAGGCGCACCAGCCGCTGGCGACTGCAGTCCAGCAGCTCCCCGAGGCAGCGGCAGGGAGCGGGGCACAGGGGCTCGGCGGCCACCCCGCGGCGGCTGCCCTCGACTGGGCCCGCGCGCCCCAGCGCCGCGCACAGCAGCAGCCCCAGCGCCGCCGCGGGCGCGCGGAGGCTCGGCGCGCCCATTGCGGTCCTGCGGCCTGTCGCTCGGCCTTGCGCTCCGCCGCCGGCGCGCACTCGGAGCCCGGCACAAACTTCCAGCCTACAGTGGACGTCCGCGCTGCGGGCCGCGTGTGCGCGCCCTCCTCTCGCGCTCCCAGGTAAACTCCTTTCTTTCACTCCCCGCAGCGGAGCCCTTTCATGCCCCGGAGCAGCGTGAGGGAAACAAACAAAAAAGGCGAACTGCGGCAGAGTTGCAAAGGCGAGCTGCGTCGGCGCGCCGAAACCCCTTCTAGCCCGCAAAAGTAACTTTTCCTCCGCCTCCCTGAAGCGGAGCGCCAGGTCCCCGGTCGGCGGAGCTGGGGGGCGGGGCGTGCAGCGGCCGGCGCGCGCCCATAGGCTACAGGTCCCGTCGCCCGGGGCCACGTGACAATAACAAGGCTCCAGCCCCGGGAGGGAGCACGGGAGAAAGTGGGAGCTGAGATTGTAGGAAATTCGGAGTTATATTTTCCAGCCTCTGGGTCCAGAAGTCTCCAGTAGATCCTGGGAAACATATATCAAATGGAGTTGAAGAGAAAAAGGGAGTGCGCAAACAAGTGAGCAAATATTAGGATATTAGGGCAGCTCTCGGAGTTGGGGGTATTTAGGGGAACTTCAGGGGAGTGAAGTTAAGTTAGCTCTGTTATCGGGAAACCTTTCAATTCCAAATTTTTAAAATGCGTAAATTGCCCTACTATCCACAGATGAAACAATGGTTTCAATGAAAGTTCAGGGTTTTGTTTTGTTTTTGTTTTGAACATTAATACTGGTCTTTTTTTACCATATGATCTCTCCAAAAATAATAATAAAATGTAAAAGTCATGATATTGGAATTGGCATATTGAGTTACAAATAGCCCGCTGTAGTGCACTGGATAGATCTGGGGGAAATTATGGGAAATGACCTTCTAACAAACCGCGATGACAATCAGATTGCATGCAATACCAAGAAATAATAAAAGTCGTCACAGTAATATTTCAAAGCAAAATGAAAACTAGGACATTGGAGGAAAAAATTAATATAGGTACCATGGTCCACCTTTGCTATGATGACAAATCAAAGGACTGATGACAAATCCTGATTGAGAATGCTACCAGCCTACAAATACTTGCCTGCCTCCTCCGTCAGGATACAGGACTTCCCGTGAAGTTGGCCTTAACTTACTCTTGCAGGTGTTTGGGGGCCTTAGGATATTGGAACTGATGGAGACCTCAGAAATCACCTGGGAATGCCCTCCTCCTAGGTGAGGAAATGGAACCAGGGAAGGTAACTAACCTGTTTGTGGCAAAAACTGGAAGGTTATTTTAAATTTCCACTTCCGCACGCAGTGTTTCTTGCATGCGCTCTGCCAAAGCATCCCATGGGGCCGCCAAAACTGTTCATTATTGAGGAGTGGAGATAGCTTGTAGAGTTGAGACTTTAACTCCAACTCTAATACTCATTGATTTCCATTGTAGCAAATCCCCTGTATAAGCACTCCCACTTGTGGGAGAGAGAATAGAATCAATCACTTTGAAGTTGAGACAGGCTACTTCACATAAAATAACCCATCCTCTTCTTTCCAGCTACCATTAGCATCAACTCCATCACGTTTTTTGATGATGTACTTTTAGACAATATTTATAATGATGGCACCTTGGTTTTGAATGATCATTTTGCCTTCTTGGGAGTGGTCAAGACACACCACACTTATGCTATGGATTTTTCAGCTCAGTCTGTCCCATCTATTTCATATAAGGAAAATCAGGCTTAGTGCATTGGAGTTTTTAAAAGAAGAAATATGCCATTATACACATGCCATTATGTATAAGCATGATGGCTTGGGTATGGTGGCTTGCTGATTGGCACATCACCCACATGACAGAGATCGAAATACATAGACTGCCATTTTGGGGGAGCTTGGTTCATTTTTTCCCCCCATTCTACACTTTCTGTATATTATTTCACCTTCTGTGAGTTCCACTTATACGCACATGCTGATACTTAACCACATCCATGTTTTCTAGCCCAGATCGTTCTCCTAACTTTAGACCCATATATTCAACCATCCATAAGTCATCTTAGATCGAATGTTCAAATGTAACATGTCCAGAAGTAAATTTCACCATCCCTGAAAGAAAGAGCTGCTTTCTTTCTGAGTTCACTGTTTCAAGGAATGATACCTCCCTCCATCCAGATGACCGCCACCCCAGAATCCTTACCATTCACCCTTAACATTTCCTCGTTCTCACCACCACCTGTACACTCAATTGATTAGCAAGTCCTGATGAAGCCAGCAACTAAATGTATCTCTTATCTATATCCATAGACATTATGTAAACTCAGACCACCATCAGCTCTTGCTTGGATTACCACCATAGCCTCTTTCCTATCTGGCATTCCAGTCCTTTCTCCACAGTGCCATGAAATGGTATCCCAAAAGCTCAAATCTGAGCCTGTGACTCAACTGCTTAATTCTTTTTACAGGGTCCCATTGTCCTCAGAGTAAAGTGTAAAATTCTTAGAGTGACATATGCAGCCTATTTTTGTATTTGGCCTCTACTTACCCCTTGAACTCATTTAATCATCTCCCTTTTACTCTAGGAACTCTCTGCAGTTGTCTTCCCATGCTGTGCTTTTTGCCCTTGGCCCTTCTTCACATGCTGATCCCTCTGTCCGGATCTGCCTGGTTGATTTCCGCTTCTCTTAAGCATCCCTCTTTTGGAGGCGCCTTTCCTGAGTCCTATTTTAGCTCTTCCTCCAGTGCACTCCCAGCACGTACAGTATTTACCGGAATGTAATCGGCCATTTTCACTCTACTACTTGCTACATAATGCTTAGAATTTCCACATCACCGGGCATCTTGCATTCCTTTAAGGGTTTCACCAGATGTGTGCTGTTAATTAAGTTACTTAAATTTTCAGTACCTCAGTTTCTCCATCTCTAAGTTGGGAATGCAGTAAAAGCTCTCTTATCTGATTTCCATTTATCAGTTCGCTGGGTTAGCTGTCACTGTTTGTTCCTTCTGTAAGATTTATTGACTAATGCCTATCCCTAGCTGAAATCCAGAGGCTACCAGCCCCTCCTTAGTACACTCTTTGCATGTTTGCTCCTACCAGTCAGATGTTGATCCATAATGATAGTAGTTGCAGACTTGTTTAAATCTATAATTACACAATTCAATTAAGTATTGTATAAACCAAACAAATACAAGTGCAACCGGAAAGTGATACTATTTCTATGACAGTGAGTTAGAAGCTTGGGAAAGATTCTTTGAAGGTAATCACATAAACACAATGCTATCAAATTGGATATGGGCAAGACAACTGTAAAAACTGGGGAGAAATGATAAATCTAGGAGATTTCTTCACACAGATTACTTTGCAGGCATCTTTAAAGTCTTGTTCTGCTTTAAAGTAATCATAATTGGGAATCAATCAGCTGAGGATGTTTTATGGGTGGGGCTCGTGTTTACTCAAAGGTTCACATGGTTGTTGAGAGAGCAAAATAGGATGACATGTAAAGAATGTAGCACACATTAAATATGGCTATTCTCCATTTCAATATGTGCTCAGCCATGCTCAGTCAATAGAGAGAACTAGTTCCACCTGAGAACTTTAAATTAATGTAATATTATCACAGACTCCTCAATCCGTTCATGAACCACAGGGCAGAACTCCCACTGGGTAGCTACCATGTTTCCCCGAAAATAAGACCGGGTCTTATATTAATTTTTGTTCCAACAATCTACATTGATTCATTTATTCATGTACAAAAATCTGCATTTATTCAAACAGTCATGTCTGGCTGATGATCTTAACTGGAGCTTATGTTTGGGGTAGGGTTTATACTATGAGCATCCTGAAAAATAATGCTAGAGCTTATTTTCCAGTTAGGTCTTATTTTGGGGGAAACACAGTACCTGAACAGGTGAGGACTGAATGTCCTTGAGGTCCCTCACAGCCCCATGCAGCTTCTTCTGTGGTACTTTGACAATCGATGAGTACGGCGAAGTGGAAGTAAGTGATTCCTGCAAGTCCACAAATAATAATATTCAGCATTTGTCAAGCTCTTACTATTCTTACTATTCTCTAAATGTGTCCTATGTATTAACTTATTTCTTACACCACCCCTTGAATGAAGGCAGAGTGCCAGCAAAGATGGTCTGTAATAGAGGGGAGAAAGGAACATAAGATTCTGTTTAATCTTCCCAAATTTATCAGTGAATAACAGTCACCCAGAAGCAGCCTTAACATGTCTCAGAATTCTCTGATGCTCTCTCATGATGTGGTTTTCCTAGGCGTGCGGGTGCGCGCGCACACATGCACAGACACACAGCACAGTAGTAGCAAATGTTGATTCTCAGTTCTTGTGGCTAATGACTGAAGGTCTTTTAACATTTGAATTAAAATGACATAAAGTATTGGATTTCTCTACTTCTAGGAGGTTTACCCTGCCAGGTAGTTGAAGATTGACTTTCCATGGGTAATCCCCTGAATCAGACCCAGATAGCTTCTCATTTATAATTTTATCCTGGTGAATGGCAAGCCCCATCCATTTTCAGTACAGCTTCCTACCATCTGTTTTATGGTTAGTATTACCCAGCCCCAACGCTCTTTTCAGTTTTCCTGTTTTGTTCTCCCTCTGGCAAGTGTGAGACTTTCTTATCTTGAGTGCTGGCAAGGGCAATGACTCACCGATAAAAAGTAATAGAGGTGCTAAGCTGTCAGTTTTAACATCCAAGGACAAGAATGAAAGCTAAACACTCAGTACTTGCTTTATCATCACAATGAATGACACAGTTTGTGTAAGTGTGAACTGTGAAAAGGGAAAAGAGATAAGGCAAAGGAGGAAGAAAAGCACAAAAATCCCCAGATAATGATGCCAAAAGCAAATGTTGCTGTACTCTGTAACCTAACCATATCTTTCCCCATTCATTAAGGCATTTTAGAAGGCATAGATAACCCTCTTTTCTCACAAAAAAATGCAATGCTTCACTCAGAGAGCAGGAGAATAGAATCTTACTTGTACAAAACCCCTGCTATGAACAGGTCTTAACTCTTTAGAAAATATTTAGAAAGATGAAGATAGCCACCCATCTGTTTTCCTCAAGTTGGCCAACGGCATGATATTACTTGAATTGAAAACAATGTAGTCTGAACAGTCACTTAACTACAAATTAAACATATGCTATCTTTTATTTGACTCATTTCTCAAGTTACCCTCTAGGAATTATGTGTGCTCTGACGAAAGCTCATTGTGGACAAAACTGGATACCCTGGAAGTCAGCTTGGTGTAGCCTGGGGCCCCGG